AAGAGCTTTAATCCAGTTGAGAGCCAAAAACATCACACGGGAAGAAGCTTAGTAAGAATCACACCTCACACAAATGAAGCTGTATTCAGTTTCCTCTGTGAAGAATATTGCAGACACAATGAGTTACCTTCTCACCTCCTTGGACTGATGACTGTGTCTCCTTCATCTTTTTATCCATGGTTCCTGATACCAGGTGCTGCGAATACTGTGTTATATAAATTGAATCCAATACTAATATTTTTCACAAGTTGAAAAACATTTTTAAAAATGTGGCTGGATATTCTTTAAAGTCTCTTTTGCTAGTTTATTCATTCAACAAACAGCATTTCCTACTAGACACTATGCCTATAACAATTTAAGACCATATAAAGATCAATCATTAATTATATTCCCTAAGTAAGCTTATTTCACACCCTGGAATCCATATCATTAGCGTCTGTGCACTGGAAATAACTATATAAACATAAACTTACTGTTATTATGTGAAAATATTTGGGAATTTTTAAAAATTCTTGTTTACGTTTCTTAAAACATACGTGAAATATGTGCCTAGAGTGATCCTATTAACCACAGGCACACAGAGCACATGAGGCAATCCTATGTTTTGTATCTGTGCACAAATAGCTTTAGGACAGAATTTAAATGTGCCAAAACCCAAAGTTCTTCCAGATGTATGCTTTCACTGATTTCTGGAAAATTGCTTCACAGTACCCTCTCAAAGTACATAGACCACATTATAAAATCCAGAGGCCACTATGCACTTTTACAAAATCCATTGCGTTGACTCATGCTGTCATTTGTCAGTGAAATGATGTTGTAAATATTCTCGCATCTTTCTATGCTGCCTGGCTTAGACTTATTATAGAGTTTTCCAAATTCCTACCCTCATTAATGACTCTTTTTCTAAAACTGGAGAAACGCTCACTTAACCAAATGTTTAAAAATATTATTTTTTCCTCCAGTGAGTTTTAATCTTTTTGAATTAAATGATGTTTATCAGGAAAACCCTTCTTAGTGCATGCCTACTATGAATATTTATCCTTTTTTTTTTTACATCAATGAAAATAGTTTGAACTTCAGCATTCTTTTGTGTTTTATTTTGTGTGTGTGTGTTTTGCTGAAGCCTGATTTGGAGTGTACTTGGGAGAATGTGACTCCTCTAAGTAGAATCCTCACTTTCATGGAGAATCAGGCAAAAGGATGTCACTTTTTCTTCCTCTTCACGGCAGAATCTCAGTATTATTTTTCAATAATGTATAACAAATTAGCACAAACCTAACAACTTAAAACAACACATACTTATTATCTCACAGTATTAGAGGGTCAGGATTTCAGTTGTAACTTAGCTGGGTCCTCTACTCAGGGCACCCAGGGCTACAATCAAGGTATTGGCTGGGCTGTGTTTTCATTTGGAGGTTCAAATGGGTAAGGTCTGCTTTCAGACTCATTCTGTTTGTTGGCAGGAATCATTTTTTTGCAGTTGTAGGACTGATGACTTTGAACTCTTACTGGCTACCAGCTGAAGGCCTCCTTTAAGATCTAAAGGCCACCCATAGTCCCTGCGGTTCATAATGTGGCAATTTGCTTCTTTTAAGCACAGCAGGAGGGTCTCCCTATGCATCTGCTAGCAAGACAGGTGTGTGTGTGTGTGTGTGTGTGTGTGTGTGTGTGTGTAATAATAATGGGATTGATATCCTACCCCCTTTGACATATTTTTGGTCAGATTGCTGGGAGGTCACCTTAGGGTCTGTCTGCCACAATCCCATTAGAACTGAAAAATACTTAGTAACTTAGAGTTAGATATAAGTTATTTTTATCACTTTTCTGGAGTCTAGTTATCTTAAAGAAAGTTTGTAATTCTCTAAACAAATCTATTTTTGTTCCCCTGTTAAAAAAAATAGGAGCCATATAGCAATTCTTGAGCAAGGCCTGGGGAAGCTGCAGGACCCAGAAGGGTGAAGAAGGTTAAGTAGGAGAGAGAACGACTGACCTCAAGCACATTGAAGAGGTCAAAAGTCCAAAAATCTAGATATCACTGGTTGTTGGTTTGTGTTTACCTGTTTTGTGATTTATTTTGCTTTGATTTTTCACAAATATTGGAAACTATATGTGTTTCATCTGTCTTTCCATTCAAAATGTGCTATTATCACCAACTTCAAAGTTCATACAACTACCATGGATATCCTTTAGCACAACACCTAAATTCTCTGAGGAGGTAAGCCTGCTTTTGGCTTCAGAAATTGAACACAGGAATGTAGTTTACCATCTGTCTGAAACTTTTAAAGTAACTTTTTTCCAAGAAAAATGTGGATTATACGCAACAAACAGAATTTTCTGGTCTCAGAACAGGAAAAATAAAGGAACCTTAAGTATTATTTTAAGTACTTTGTTTGCTAGTAGTGTTTGTGGTGAATGAAAAATTGATCCTCAATTGTGTGGGAAACAGAGAAGTGATCTGCATGGCAATGGCCAAGTACAGACATCAGAGACTTCGCAGTTTTGAAACTGATATTTATGAACATCTGCTTTCTCCCCGTAAATTTTAATATGGATTGTATCCTTTGAAACTCACAAAACTCCCAGGTGCTTCTTCAGTCTTTATCTTGGAAAACACACTTTTAAAAGAAAGTCTTCTTTTTTCCACTGAACATATTCAAAATCATTTTTGTCTAAACAATATTCCTAGATATATGGCACCTATTGGAATGCCTGCGATATGGCATTAAAGGTTAGCAACCCAAAATCTTGCAATCACCATGTCAAACCTCCAAAATGTCCACCCCCAGAACACAAGCCATAATAGTCTTAATAGAGGGTGCTGGAAAGTATCCATTTCTAGGCCCAGGGCATGCCTTTTGTTATTACACCAATATTTGTTTAGTGCTTGCTATGTAATAGGCACTTTTAGGTGCCAAGTTTATAGCAGCCAACATAACAGACAAAATATCTGTCCTCATTGTGTTTATGTTCCAGGGAGTGTAAATGTTCTCTTTAAAAATTCCCTTTAACTTTTTGTAATATCCTTTATATAGTTCATAAGTAAAAAAGCTTTGTGCTGGGTCTACAAACCAATGCTAATCCATTAATGATGCTGAACTGGACTCTGGAGGTATTGTGAAAAAAAAAATAGACATGTTTCTGTTCTCAGTGAACTCATAGTTGGACATACTTCTCACCTCTGTCAAAAAATTTAGAACTGAGAATTAGGAGCTTTGGGATGCAATCCGGGTAGCCATTTGATCATTTTCTATTTAGATCCCTTATAAGCAGTGCAAACAGTGCCTACGCCCCTCAGCCTTGACAATTCTAAGAACTGTTCCTATACAGAGAGAAAATAAGAGTGTGTAGGCTAAAGGAAAGGAAACAAAATCACAGCTCAACAGAGCACAAACATGTGAATTGACTGGGTACATGCAAGGCCAACAAGAACATTAAGTCCCTCTTAGGAGGAGGAGCCTTTTAAGAATGCAGTTTCTGGTCATCCTATACCAAAGGATACAAGTCATTTACATAATAGGAAAGCCTCAGGAGGACAGTAGAGCTATTTAATTTGGTTAGGCTAATAGTTTTCCATCCATTTGCAGTCTAACCGAACCTCTCTCCCTGCCTCTTAAAGAGGAACGCATTGGCTTGGTGCCACGGGGCACATAAAACATGTGCAGTCTTCTTGGAGTGTCAATTCTACTCAACCATTTGGAGGAAAAAAGTTAATTAATTTACTGATAAATAATGTAATGCATTATCTTCCATTAAAACCAATTCAGGCCAGGCATGGTGTCTCATGCCTGCAATCCCAACCCTTTGGGAGGCCAAGGAAGGTGGATCACTTGAGTTCAGGAGTTGGAGACCAGCCTGGCTAACATGGCAGCACCCCGTCTCTACTAAAAATACAAAAATTAGCCAGGTGTGGTGGCAGGCACCAGTAAACCCAGCTGCTCGGGAAGCTGACACACGAGAATCACTTGAACCCAGGAGGTGAAGGTTGCAGTGAGCCAATATCACACCACTGCACTCCAACCTGGGCAACAGAGTGAGACTCTATATCAGAAAAAAAAAAAAAAAAGTAAAAATTTAAAAAAAAATCAATGCAGCTTATATTAGGTAATAGAATGCAAAATTTGCATACACTTTTAGGATAAAGCATAAGAACTAAACAGTGCTGGAGCCAAGGTCTGAGGGATTAAGCCCCACCCCCATATTTTCCATCAGCTCCCTGTAAAGCCAACATAATACATATAATATGTATATATGTATGTATGTGTGTGTGTGTATATATATATATATATTTTTTTTTTTTTGAGACAGGGTCTCACTCTGTCACCCAGGCTGGAGTACAGTGGTGCAATCTCGCCTCACTGCAACTCCTGCCTCACAGGCTCAAGTGATCCTGTCACCTCAACCACCTGAGTAGCTGGGACCACAGACATGTACCACCATGCCTGGCCAATGTTTTTGTATTTTTGGTAGAGACAAGGTTTCGCCATGTTGCCCAGGCTGGTCTTGAACTTCTGAGTTCAGGCAATCTGCCTTCCTCCACCTCCCAGAGTGCTGGGATTATAGGCATGAGCCACCACGCCTGTCCAATAATATTTTTTGATGTGGATAATTCTTTCTCAATTTTGTATAAAATGTAAATCCCCCAGCAGCATGTCTTCCAACCACATTGCCACTTGGATATCCCTTCTTTTTAGAAAATCTGGAGCCACTGCTAGATGCAAGAAAATTCTGGGCCATTTCAGGCTCTGACACCTCAAACCCTGACACTCAGCCCTGGGGTCTGTGCTCACTCCCGCTGCATTTATGAATACTCTCATGGAAAAGTTTAGCTGAATGCTTTTTTTAAGGTCGGTCAAGAGAAATTTTTTTCAATGCTGCCTCTTAGTCCTTAGTACTGAGATTGAGCATTGACCATCCTGATCCACATCCCCTTCTCCCAGTCTCGGAATGTTAGGTAGCAGGCAGAGCAGCTTATGTTCTTTGTGCTTGTGTTCCTGACACAGGATCTGGACCAGGTGCAGCTCCATCTGGAAGAAGTGAGGTTCTTTGACGTGTTTGGCTTCAGTGAAACAGCAGGAGCATGGCAATGCTTCATGTGCAACAACCCTGAAAAAGCAACTGGTGAGAGACCCCTACCTGCTGATAAGAACCATTTGTGCCCCGCTTTACAGGGATCTGTCAGCTCCATTGTTCTAGGTGGCTTTCCTCTTACATAAACATCCCCAGTTGTAATAATGCCCAGAGTCGTGTCCCTGCTTTGTGCTGAGAAAGGCATCTCACCAAAGTGGTCGTAGGATAAAAGGAAAACTTTGGGAGGCAGAGAAGCAATCCCTCACCTATATGTGGTTATCAAGGAAGCAGTATCAGTCATTTTGCCCTAAAAGTATTCATTTCATCCAGATGACCCTGAGGGTTAGAGAGAAAAAAGTGTTCTGTCAAGCTGTGTTCCTTGAGGAAATGAGACCACACTAAATGAGTGAATCGCACACAGACCACGTTTTCTCATTTAATCCCTAACACTGTTGCTTGATGATTAAACTGTGTAAAAAGTGAAGCATTAAAATAGTAAGAAATTGTCTGAGAAATAACTTCATAGCTGGTTATTCATTTTCCACTTCCTTTCTGCTGCTCAAGGTATTTGGTCTACTGACCTTGCCTAAAAATAATTGTTAGCAAATACAAGTCATGCCCTATGCTAAACGTATCAGATACCTTATCTCATTTAATCAGTCCTTACAATACTCTTATGAGGAAAATACTGATATTATCTCTGCTTTACTGATGAGGAAACTGAGGCACAGAGAGGTGTGGTAACTGCCCAAGGTCATGAAGATTAATTAACAGCAGCAGAATTTGAATGCAGCCTGACTCTAGAACCCATGCTCTTAACCATTTCACCATTCTGCCTCCGGGTTACACTTGGCTCAATCCAACCAGTGGAAACAGGTTACTAATAAGCCTATGTCCAAAAAGTTATGCTGTCATTGGAAGTGAAATATTTCATCACTAGTGTGCCCTTTGAGAGGAGAGAGCTCTCAGTGCTGACACAGCTCAGAAACTGCATTTTGGACGACAAGAGCAGTGTTAAAAAGACTGTTGAACACAAAGCCACTTTGTAGATGAGCCATCCTCTAGACAGCCATTGATTATACCACCTGTACCTGGTCCTTTAATTTTAGGATTTTATGCATCTTCAAGATTACCCATTGTGGCAAGTCTGTCCTCTTGTTAACTGCCAGGATGTTGAGGCTGAATCAAAAAAGTATGTTTATTTGGCCAGATGGAGATGTGTAGGGCTCTCAGAGAAGTACCAATTAAAATGTATTACCCCACGGAAAAGATGCGGATGGCAGAAGCTGGCAGTTAGGACGCCAGGCTTTGTGAAGCACAGATTGTTGGCTGATTACAGAGTCTGGATTGAGCCAACGCCAGAGTGAACACCCCAATTTTTTAAAAGTTAATTCAAACAAATAAGGAATTGGGGAATTGACTGTCTGCATTATAAAACTTTCCAATTAGACCTTATTTTATATATGAAAAAGGCAGAGCATAAAAGAAACCTTATTTGAGAGCTAGTAAAATAAGGTACTTACCTTAGGTAGCTCTGAGAGGCCCTGAAGAGTTTTCACTCCGAGTAAGCTGAGTTCTTAGTTCAATAAATATTTAATCATATCTGGCCAAGGGAGGCCTCAGAAAAGGGGCTGAAAGTTAAAAACACAAAGTGTTCCTTTAATATATGTTTTCTCAAATTCACTGCCATGCTCTTGAAATGAACGTTCTGCACATTCACTCTTTCTTATTTGTGTTCCTCATAGTTAAATATGGACTGAGAACATATAGCAATAAAAATTCAAACAAGGTCAAATATTTTATAGCACAACATATTGAATCAAAATGTTTGGCCCTGAAAACTTCAGTGGGTTTGGATTTCTTTGCTCATTTCCTTTTGCTACATGAAAGAGGATTTGAGTTTGAGAAAAGTCCTATTTTAAACTGTTTTTCTTTTTCCACCAAAACCCTTGACTCCCTGGATAGTTTATATAGGTTGTTGATTTCATCTTCTTTTTTATATAAGCACTTAAATTATATATTTAATCTAAGTGAAAGGTCTAACATAATACTGTTGCCAAATATATTTCTCATGGAGACGGTATTTGCATTCAAGTTCTGCTTAAATTCAAAGTTTAAAGATGAGACATAGCAACAAATACTTTATTGGTCATGCACAGCTAGCGTATTACTTGCATCCAATTTTTCATTTATGCAATGCATGTTTGTTGCATTAGTTGAGTGTCTTCTACAGGCTGACCCTTGGGATAGAAATATGAATAAGGTACAATGTCTCTGCTCTAAAAGAAATTCATAATCCAGTTAGGGCCAAAAGGTGTATTCAAAAAAAACTAGCATTCTTCTTTTATGTTTTTAGCATGCTATATTTGTTGAGTGAGTGAATGAATGAATGAATAGTATTTTTAAAAGGCAATGTCAAATATTCCTTGAATGTTAAAATGTAATGTTTTAAGATTGTGATTATATGCTAACAATATCAAATTCATCACTATACCATACCCAATGCATTCTGAACCTGGTAAATGGAGATTGGGGCTGTTTCTCCCTAAGAGAAGTCGCCACTTGTAAAGCCTTGATCCACTTACCTGCCTGTCTTAGCACCTAGAATGTACTATGCCCTACTGAGTACTATGTACTGGTCTGGGTTTCATCAACACCCACACAGGGGCCAGATGCCCTATCAGCCTCAGGGAGAAGGGGTCCAAAAGAAGTAGAATTGAAGTCCAGAACAAAAGGCCAAAGAAACTGTGTTTTTTCTATTTTTTAAAAGAATTGACAAATGATACAATAATTGTTTTCAAGTATTCACGTTTCAATATTTTTTAATGCTGTCCAGCATCTCCATAAATGAGGAAGAAAACATGAGACAATTAGAGAATTTCAGTTAGACATTAGGAAAGACATCAAGAAATATATAATACTTCTTAGTAGTGTGTAGACTCAGCCAGAGAAATCCTTCAGAAATTGACAGTATCTCAGCTTACTGACATGGTCAACTCACATACATTCCCATCTTCGAGTAAAAGTCTCATCACCATCCTCCCACCAACTTCACCATCAACACACAGAAATTCACAGGAGTTTAATATCTGGTGATCAATAAAATATTTTTATCCAACAAAGTACAGATAGTCAGAGGAAAGTAAATGCTAAACTAATGTAGAGGCCCTGACATGATGATCATTGTTAGCATTCATCATTCTAATGATATGCTAAGTTTGCATGCATTTTTCCCATTTTCTTACCATCACTGACTTCATTTTACAGATCAGAAAACTGAAACACAGAGAGATTAAGTAATTTTCCCCAGGTCACACAGCTTCTCAGTGATGGAACCAGTATTTTAATCCAGACAGGACAATTCCAGAACCTGATTTTTCAACCTATAGGGAAAATTCAAGTTAAGGACACAAAATATTGGAAATTCCAAGAGCAATCATTCAGTAATGTTATAATATATTATACAGACCCATAGACAAGTTTAATTTTTTAGAAGTGATCTACTTCCTTGATGACTTACTCTACTTAAAGAAGAACAGAGACTTTGGTATGATAATATGTGAGAAATTATTACTTGCAGGAAATGATTACAATAGAATCTATTTCCTATTCTTCCAACTGCTGAATCAGTTTCTGATAATCATTTTATAAAAGTTCAGAGTGGAAGATTAGAAAATCTCTGAAATAACTCAATAATCCTCAGAGACTTGCCTGGTGGTGTTTATTGCAGATCTCGTTATTCCACATGAATGAGAGAATGGAGATTGAGCAAGTAGATTGAACAGAACAGAACTTATTTCTGGAAAACCAAGCTAATCTTCTTTATCAGTTGCCCTTGTGTCTTGGAATTGCACAATGTATGTTGACAGTAAGAGTTAGTCAGCTGGTCTGTCCTGGAACATATCTGGCTTTCTCTTCAGTCACATTTTTTTAAAGTAGGAGGAAGAACTGGGTCATGACTTTCACTCATTTCGCGAGACACATGGGATGCCTTTGTTCTTACACCCTACAAAAAACAACTTAGAGTTTTGGCACTCCTGTCCTCCTTGATAAATCTAAGCAGTCCCATGTGATTAGTCTCTTAGTCACTAGACATTTAGAGTTTGAATGTGATCGTCAGTAGAAGGTCTTCTTGGGTCCAAAAAGAAAATGGAACAATTTTTTCAAACAACTTTCTATCATGATTCATCTTTAGAACTTGATTTCAAATAGTTGTGTTATAAGAACATACTGTCAAGCTGAGTGCAGGGGCACGTGCCTGTCACGTCGCAGCTACTCAGGAGAGAGTGGTGGGAGGATTGCCTCAGGCCAGGAGTTTGAAGCTGTAGTGCACCATGATCAAGCCCGCGAATAGCCAATGCACTCCAGCCTGGCCAACATAGCGTAGACCCTGTCTCTAAATCTAAACTAACTAACTAAATAAATACAAATTTTAAAAAAGAATGTGCTATTTATTGTATTATATTATATTATTAATACATGAGCAAATAGAGATGGTTTCAAAATGCCTTCTCTGTCAGGAGAGTTTTTTCAGACAGCCAAAAGAACTGTTACAGCAGTTGCGTCTGCTTTGAGGGGCACCCTTCATGTGAGCTAGATGATTTTTTCCACTCTAGATGCCAAGGTGAAAATGAACTAAATGACGTCTGAGAGGACCTAGCCCATAAGGCCACCAATAGCCTTGTGAGTCTATGAATATGAAGCTTTTCCATTAAATTTCAATGTCAACTTTCATAGAACTTTAAAAGTAATAAAAGAAAACTCAATTTTGGCCAGGCGCAGTGGCTCATGCCTGTAATCCCAGCACTTGGGGAGGCCGAAGCGGGCAGATCACAAGGTCAGGAAATCGAGACCATCCTGGCCAACATGGTGAAACCCCGTATCTACTAAAAATACAAAAATTAGCTGGACGTGGTGGCATGTGCCTGTAATCCCAGCTATTCTGGAGGCTGAGTCAGGAGAATCACTTGAATCCGGGAGTTAGAAGTTGCAGTGAGCCAAGATCGCGCCACTGCACTCCAGCCTGGTGGCAGAGCGAGACTCATCTCAAA